TATATATATATATATATATATATATATATATATACACATATATACACACATTCCTCTTCCCCCAAAATAAGAATTTGATTGATAACAATCAGACGTTTATAAAGATGCCCAACTAAGAAAGGGAGGTCCCCCCCTGCTCTCCTTTCCCTCCTCTTCAGTCTGTCCAGTGCCACTGTTCAGTATTATTTACCACATTCAGTCCACCGGTGATTCCATACTTAGAAAAAATGAGCTAAACCCAACGACAGGAACTGCATTTTACATCATCTATCTCATGAAAGGCTTCTCCACCAGTCTCCAAAGTGCAGCATTAGCGTCCTTGTTATCTGAAGGCGCTGCAGCGGTGGCGCGAGCAGGGTCCCTTGCTTGGGGGGTGGGGGGCATTCTAAAATCTGTTACATTTTCTGCATTTTAAAAAGATACATCACACCAAAGGTTGCTTTTTTCTGTGATATTGTTCACAAGAAATGTTTGAAAGTTCACATATCTTACATATATTTATTTTTTTTACTTTTTGTATTTTTTATTAGCAAGGATAGGATTACAAAGGTTCATATGCTGTGGCACTTTCAGTATAGTATCATGTATCAAACTGTAATAATCTACTTTTACATGTTTGTATTATATTTTCAACTGGCTGGCGACACCAAGGATATAAAAACTGGCATCCTAGTTTTCCTTTACTATGACAAAATCCGTTAATATACGCGTGGAAAGTAGAATGCATCTGAAACCAAGCTTCCTAGAAAGGAAAAACAGTGGTGTATTTCGTTCTACAATAAAGACATTTGTTGTTTTTTTTTGTTTTCTATTTTACCTGAAACAAAACTAGCTTCTTTCCACATTATATATATATATTTATCAACAAATATTATTTACAATAGCTGTGTCATTCTATCAGTTTTATCAATTGCACTGTTTCCCACTTTTACTGAAAATAAGCTGGTGTCCATCACATTTGTTTACAAAGCCATTTTATCAGCAACCTCAACTCCACGAGCGATGGATTATCATCCCACAGCATCATGGCCTCTTTTCTTAGTCTTCATCTATTTTACTGACAATTTCATGTCACATTTCATGTCCCTACGCTACACCTTGTATCACTACGGTAAAAATATCATGACATAAATATATTCACACTGCTGGTGCATTTCCTTCCTGCTGATGCCTGCTTCTAAGACTAAAACGCCAAAGGCAGGTGAGCAGAAGGGGGAAAGGCAGCAGCAGTTCGCTTTAGGAGTGACTGGATGAATTACAAATGTTTAAATGGTGGAACATATGTAATGGGGCCCTGCTGAATCTCCGCAGACAACACTTATGTACAATTTGTTGGAATGATTATTTGGATATCTACACAAACATTCATTTTACACACGCTTTCCCATATATATATGTGTGTGTGTGTGTGTGTGTGTGTGTGTGTGTGTGTGTGTGTGTGTGTGTGTGTGTGTGTGTGTGTGTGTGTGTGTGTGTGTGTGTGTGTGTGTGTGTGTGTGTGTGTGTGTGTGTGCGTGCTGTGCGTGCGTGCTGTGCGTGCTGTGCGTGCGTGCGTGTGTGTGTGTGTGTGTGTGTGTGTGTGTGTGTGTGTGTGTGTGAGTTTAAGTTTGACAGTAAATATAATCGTCTTATGGATATCTGCATATATCTGTGTGGTAATTATATTTTCATTCTTACACTATTCACAATAAAATATATCTTCAGTAACTACTCTCTGATGCCAACGAACCAAAAAGAGAATCCCGCCAACTTCGAAACCGAGCACGAAATTCTTACTATACAAAAAATCCAAAGAGAAGTGAGGTGAAGCGCGAAACGAAAGTCCTGCGGCGTGCGCGGAAAATCGCCTGACAACGAGTCTTTACAATCTATCAGCTGATGCGTAATTATCTATCTAGAATCTTCGTCTACACTCTTACCACTGGACTCCCTGAAATCACAAAAAGAAAGAAAAAAAGGTTTGAGAATAATAATATACAAAACTGTTAAATACTAGTGACTAGAAACAATAAATACACGTACATTAATCAAACAGAAGATGATTGCAATGAACTATGTACAGATGAAGATGTTCTTACTTTTTAGTTGTTTTTTTCTTAATTCATTACAGTCAGGTGTGAGTCTTCAGTTTAAAAATGTATTATTTCCCTTTACATATGCATTAAAAATAATATTGTAAAGTCTCACAGATGGCATATACAGGTTACGCAGTATACCTGACAGCAAACTTAATATCTATAAGTAACTTGTAACTCATTGTGATAGTTTCTTGGAAGACATAAGACAAACTTTATGCGCATTATTATTTTTTGAGGATGGAAAAAATATACAATAACTTTCACAACCATGAAAGACTTGGATATTTTCCTCATGGCACACGGGATAAGCGGAATACAATGTCTTGTTACCAAGAATTGTGGATAGACAACGAAATTTGAACTTTGCTTTCGTACTGCACAAAGGGGGTTATTGTGTTTTATCGTGTCCCGTAACTTCATGA